GAAAACGAGGTTGACGTGACGTGATTGAATCAGGGAATCCGTGTGTCTACCACGGGAGAGGACCCTAATTGACTTTACATTGGCATTGTTTTCATGGTGGCAGCACGTAATTTCAACCCATTACGTGCTGCCACCACGGAATGCGGTGTTAAGAGGTCGTGGTCATTTCACGTATTTCTGTGAGATCAGGTTGAATACAATACTAACTCATAATCCTATATTTAGTATATTGAGTCACTCATCAAGATGAGGAAATCAACTCACCAGTCTGTAAACTCTTGACTTCTAGCTAGCTAGCTGCTAGCTAGCTAGGTTGAGGTTTTCAAATGTAAACATCAGTAAACATCAAGGAAAGATAGAGACGATGGACGCCAGCTGAGCTAGTATCCTTGCTAGCCATTGTACAAAATAAACTGAAAGACCTCCATGCCGCAACAGTTTCCAAAAGGATATCAGGAACTGTAATATCCTTTGATTCATTGAAACACGGCTAAATGCTGGACAGTGCCACTCAACCAGGTGGCTCTTTTTTTATATGCTGATCTAACAGAGCAGAGGACTCTGGTGAGAGAAGGAGAGGAGGAGTGTGCTTTACGGTGAATATGAACTGGTGTGATGGTAGGAATGTGCAGTGTTGTCCTGTTCCTGCTGTGGATCATTGGATCCTTTCAGGGGCGACTGCATTGCAGCGCTGCCCCTCTTGTTGAGGTCGGGATGTGTGGACAGTTAAATCATTCCACAACCAGGAACCATGGATTACCAGAACCATCTGAAAGCATGAACAATTATAAAGCAGCAGCCAACAATGTAAGAAGATACAAAAAAGGACTAAATCACAGTGTACAAGTTCAAGCTGATGGGATCACATTTCACCAGAGTTGTACTTTGTATAATTCCTTGTGACAAATGATTGATTGATTGATTGATTGATTGATAGATTGATCAACATCGGGTTGTGTTGTTAATGTGCTAACTGGCTAACTAGTGTCCTGAATTCGTTTTGTCAGTCTTCCATTTTCCCTTTTTGATTGACGATTACAGACTACTGCCATCTGAGAGTTATTTCCTCTCAGGCAGGTGCAGAAAGTATGTGCTAGATGGGCTGTTGTCTTTGGGGTATATTCAAGTGCAATATCTGGCTAAGACTCAGGCAACACAAGGCGAGCAACAGTTGGCCTTTGTCGCCACTAGTTTTTTTATGTTGGTTTGGTGTGTCTTGGCCTTAAGGTTTTACTTAGAGGTTGAGAAGCAATACTTGGAATTACTTTGGTCATAAGGTGGAGCAGTGTTTATTCATAGACAAACCAAAACCTAAAGTGTACATTTACTACCACTTAACAACTTTGCTGCTAACGTCCTCTCTGCGCTGATCACCAAAACATTGTCTGCTCTGAGCGCATCCCGTCTCTCTGTCTGTCTCTCTCTCACAACTACACACTTGCTAAACACACACACACACACACACACACTACACGCTGAGCTCAAGACAATGAGTCTCTTTGCATGTTCTGCAGTGTTTGTTTAGTTTTTTCTCATCTCTTGACCCGTACTTGTGAAAACAAAGAGTTTAGTCACAAAAATATATTACTTATCGTTGGGCATTTTTAAGTTTGTATTCAAAAATCCTGAAGCTTTTTAACTGGTATACGGTGTATATCTGAGTATCACACTACACCAATGCCAATTGCACTACCCTGACTCTGTGTCACCCTGACCAAGGTTAAATAGTCCTGGCAGCAGCTAGGTTCTTATGCTCCCAGGTCACAGATACCAATAACTCTCTGCAATGAGGAAGTGATACAAAAATAACCAGCACTCAATTACACATTGCCAGGGACACATGAAATGTCACACTAGTGAGAAAAGTGTGAGTGTGTTTACACATTAACTATGTTCGACTTTTAGCTGAAACTCTGAATGGGTCTCATTCATGAAACGTGAGCAGAAGGAATTTGTGTGTAAACTGTTGGCAGACGGAAATTTACGTGCGTGTCCGCATTCATCAATATTTTAGTAGCTCCGATCTTTTTGTAGCTACTAACAAAATCTACTCCTGCTCCTGACCACTCGTAGTGCTTGTGTAAATTTAGTAAAGCACATAAATATTGCTTGTCACTATTGGAAATTACAATTTTAATTCGTATTGCGGCAGTTAGCAGGTTTAAGATCCAGATTAGGTTCATGATTGTGAATTATCTATGTAAATCGACTCACTAGATTACACGTTCTTTCTACATGTTGAATGATGATAATAAAAATATCAGTAAGGACAGCCGGATCACAGCCTCTTCGGCCTCGGTGCCTGGGTTCAGCAAGGGCAGCAGGTGGTGGAGCCATGAAGGAGCACGTGCCAGTTGAAATAATTATTTGAGACAACACGTTTTTTTTTGTTGTTGTTTTTTTGTGGCTTTTTGATCATTTGAATTAATGAATCTGATTTGAAAAATGTTTAATTTACATTGTATAAAACAGAGCTTTAGGCTATTAAGATTCAAATAATTTGAAGACGATGCATGCAAAACTGCTGTAGGCTATATGTTATCCGTATCAAATAAATGTTAAATAGCTCTACATTCCGACAGCCATCACTGATTTAGAGTTTATCCATTACGCACAAAACATCTCTGGTTTCCCGTTCCCACTTCATTCAAAACCCCACAAAATCTTCTGTTTGTTTGGTGACCGCTGTATTTTTTTTGTGTGTGTGCTTATGCGTTTCTTTGCCTCCAGTTTCATATCAAACCATTTACGCTTCACCTCTGACATGGTTCTTTGTACCACGAAGACAACATTAACAGCATCTGTTACCTCCCTCCAGGCCTTCGCTTTGCCTGTCCCTGTCACACCACTACTAACTGAAGAAAATAAAATGTTTTTTCTTAAGTCCACTTCACCCAAAATTATTTCGATCTCCGATTCGGAAAAATTCTTTTTTCTTTCTCTCTCTTTCTTTCTTTACGCCATGACTGACAGGTTGACTGGATGCACCTACACCTCCTTATATGGTGGTCATTGGCTATTCATGGGCGGGGATTTATGCTATATTTTTTTTTATTTATTTATTTTTTTTATATATATACTTTATTAATCCCCGAGGGGAAATTCAATTTTTCACTCTGTTTGTCAATTACACACAGGTCCGAACACACACATGCACAAACAGGACCTATACATGCACTAAGTGGAGAGATGTCAGAGTGGGCTGCCCATGACAGGCGCTCTGAGCGGTTGGGGGGTTCAGTGCCTTGCTCAGGGGCACCTCGGCAGTGCCCAGGAGGTGAACTGGCACCTCTCCAGCTACCAGTCCACGCTCCATATTTTGGTCCAGACGGGGACTTGAAGAGGTGACCCTCCGGTTCCCAACCCAAGTCCCCATGGACTGAGCTACTGCCGCCCCTATTTATACTATGATTACCAGGAGCGCGCTGTCACTTTATGATGGATTGGCATTCATGATCATACACGTGTTTACGATCAAATCTGAGTTTCCCGTGGCGTTCCTGAATCTGGAGTAGGTTTTTAGTAGCATAGGCTTTTATGTGCAAATCTACACACAGAGTTTAGCTCAGGATAAACAGACATTGGGTCTCATTCATGAAAAGTGAGTAAATCTGACAGCTGTTGAATGAGTCTTCATTTTTTTCAGCCTACTGACAGCAAATCATTATCACAGACCCTTTTTCCAAAGCATATCACATCTTTAGATAGATTGGTAGTGTAGTCAAAAGCAAACTCTCCGTCAATAAAGTTCTTATTTGTCAGTCCTTCCAGAATGACCTGTAGGGCCGTTCCAAAAACTACTCATGTTGATTAAGTTTGGGCAACTAACTTTGTTGAAATAAGGGAAAAATCCTGGTCATGGTTATGAATCTGAAAACATGTAAAGAATATTAAAGTCAGTTAAGTGACACGTTAAGTGAGTCGTTAAGTCAGCTACACAGCAACATTTAGGCTACCTCCTAAGTTAGCTGACATTAGCTACCATTAGCTACTGTTCATATCAGACTACATAAGGCCTGAGTGTAATCAATCAATCAAAGGTGTGTTTTATTGCTTATGAATAAAACTTTTCAGTTGTAAGAGGAATAGTTGTAAGAGCATTTCTATACTTGAAAATTACACACTCATCCTTCATTAATCGGCTGATGAATGGAGGGGCTAAAAACGTCAGTCACAAACATTCTTATACAATGTCCACTTATGTATGTGTATGTTGTGTATATGTTGTGGCACCATTAAGATATATAACATCCAACGTACTGAATACAACAGCTTCCCATTTTGCATCTATCTATTTCTGCTTTATTGCCACTGTTCTTTTATATGGCTAATTTGAAAGATACAGACTTTGTAACAGCCGAGGGTCAATTTATATAAAAAACCTCACATATAACCAGGGGTCGCGTTAACCAGATATTCTCGGTCATTGACCGTTTTTTTACAACAATGACCGGAAAATCTGAAGGCCGTCAGTCATTTTGACCGGTTGCAATAACCACCCCACTTGGCGGCGGAGTGCACAGTCAGTGGTTTAAGTGGCTGCCGCTTTCACACTGCAGAGAAAAAGTCATTCATCTGCTTCATGTAGTGTTGTTGACATAACGCCCTGGACACACCGGACGCGGAACCGAAGCACAGTGCCCAGCAGCGGAGGCAGTTTTCAGTCAGCGCCCATGTTAACCTATGTGACTGTCCACACAGGCCGCTGAGCAGAGCGGAATGCCCGCGGAGGCAGCGCTTCAGTTCGGCGTCTGGAGCCGGTTGCACCACCTCTCACGAAGTGTTTACTAACCTTAGTAAAAGTGTAAGTGTTTACTAAATCAAGATTTAGTCATTACTAAATTAAAATGGGTTGCACCAATTTTACTAGGAATCACGTAGAGCTAGTAATTACAAAGTGTTTACTAAATATTTACACCTACCCTAAGGGTTGTGTAACTGTTACCTAGTTACATAGTTTGCCGACACAGGATCAAAACCAATTGAAGAAAACAGCAACTATGGCTCGTTTAGAGAGGCTTGCTCTACAAAACAGAGAACCTGCCGTTAGGAAAAGGGTTTTGAGAGACCGAATCCACCCTTTGGATGTGTACGATGACTTCGATATTTACTGTCGGTACCGGTTCAGGCACGACCAGATAATGTGGATCACGGACATGCTGGCTCCGGCAATTGAGCACGGGTCTGAGTCAAACGGGGCTCTACCTCCGTCGCTACAAGTGACAATCGCATTGCGATACTTCGCTACGGGGTCAATGCAGAATGTGGTTGGGGACACGATCCAAGCCCACAAAAGTACTGTGTGCCGGGCAGTGCGTCGGGTGGCGCTGGCGTTGTGTGGGCACCTCAACAACTACGTGCAGCTGCCCTCAGGAGCGAGACAGGACGTGGTGAGGCAGAAATATCATAACATTGCCGGCTTCCCGGATGTGGTGGGATGTGTCGATGGGACACATTTCAAAATAAAAGCGCCCAGCAACCACGAAAACGCCTATGTCAACAGGAAGGGTTTTCATTCGCTGAATGCCCAGCTTGTTTGTGACCCCGATCTAATTTTGACTAATTGTGTTATTAAATGGCCCAGCTGTAAGCATGACAGCTTTATACTGCGACAATCCAGCATCTATACAGACTTTGAGGAGGGCAGAGCTACAGGGATGCTCTTGGGTGATTCGGGCTACCCACTCAAAAGATGGCTTATGACCCCCTACATAAATGCTGACACCCTCCCCAAGAGACGTTACAATGAGGCCCACAGCAAAACCCGCAACGTCATTGAACGCTGCATAGGGGTCCTTAAGCAGAGATGGGCATGCCTTCACAAAGGTCAGCTCCCATTTAGGCATAAATACTTAGTAATTAGTTATAAAATAATTGTTCATTGTTCATTGATCATCAATTGTTTTTGATAGGCATCACAATGGATCCAGATAGGGCAGCTGTGGTGGCAGGGGCATGTTGTGTCCTCCACAACATGGCCATGTTGTGGAAGGTTCCTTATGATGTAGACCCAAAGCAGCCAGAGGAGGAGGAAGAGCCTTAGGGGAATGAGGAGGCAGAGAGAGAGGGAGCTACAGTGCGAGAGTACATAGCAAATACCTATTTTGTATGAATTGGTATGTGATGTCCCTTTGGGTCCTATAACAACTCTGGGTCCATCTGAGGATGTGACATTAATTTAATTGCAGTAATTTGGGGGTGTTGCCCTGCAATAAGACTACGCCATCCTTACCATTTCTCCCCTCTCTGTGTGAAGGTCTCGTCCTGGACAGTCTCGTTGTGAAATCTATGGATCTGCATATGAGAACCTGCGTGTGGTTAATTGGTTACCGGACAGCACAGCCGGAGACCAACAGCACACAGCATTTCTTTCACAAGTTGTGCTATTTAGAATTTCTCTTCTTCTTCTCTTTTTAAATAATAAATAATGTAATATATAAATATATATAAAATATAATATATAATAATAAATGTCTTGCATCTGATGAACTGACAACATGAATTATTTATCCCGTTACAGTTGTAACAGTTCGTGAGTGAGTGGTGGTGTGAGCGAAAAAAAGGGCACGTCCACAAAAGTACTTACTTGGGACTTCACGGCTGTTGCTAATTTATTGAGCAAAACACCACTGTATTATCATACATGACAAAGCGGTCTCACGTTACTCACTGTTAGCTGAGTTAAGAATCAAAGAAAAGAGAAATGCAGGAGCTCAATAATGGCGTCCACTCATCTTGTACTCGTCTTCTCAACTGACCAAAACAAAGGCACGGACCAGTGACGTCCTGGCGCATTTACGTTGCTAAAGGAACATTCCAACTGTTACACAGTCACATGAAAAACAAAATATCTAAAATATTTAACAAGACTATAGAGTACAACAAAAAGACACTTAAGAGTTTTAATTAGTTACAAGTAGAAGTGTTTATTTCATATAAATGTTTTTCCACAAGGTTATTAAATAAGATAAATACATTAAATTTAAATTATTGGCCAACAGACTAAATTACAGATATAAGTAATGAAAATACAAATAATAAAAATACAATTAAAAAAATCAATCACACATTTCCTCTACAGTCCATTCTGAAGCAACAGCTTTGGGAGAATGCCAATGGGGCTCTATATCTCTGTGACCGAAAAGGAGTAGCCTAATGGCTTTAAGTGCTCCTGCAGTGTGATTATTTCTACATTTATTTTTACTTTTTCAAGATCAATTTTTTCCTTTTCAGCTATGATATTTTTGGTTTCTTCCTCAATTTTTATTAACTCAGCTTTAAAAACTTTTGCCCTCAATGCATCAGTGTCATCCTCCTTTGAAAAACTGGACGCTCTATTGCCCACCCGCTGCAGTGGTCTGGGTGTGGCATGGGCAGGGGTAGAGGCACCTTCCTGGGGAGGGTGGGTCTGTCCTGCTTCAACTGCTGCTTCAACGTTGAGCTGGTCGACTGGTGGTTCTGGGCTTCTGGCTGTCTGGGTGTTCTGGGTGGCTGACGGGTGAGATAGAGCAGGATATGAATACATTTCATATAGATATACAGATACATTATAGTATTGTATGTCTGAATAATTCTATTTCTATACAGTATTTATAATGATTGTACATGAATACATTTTCAAGTTGGAAAAACATGACTTCAGGCAAGACTTACATACCTGATAGAGCTGTTTCTGGCCTGCTGATTGATTGAATCACTTGCTGGCAGCTAAGTCCGCTTTCAATCCCTCCAGCACCTCCACCAACACCTACTACCGCAGGCGAATCCTCCCCAATTACATCCAGGACTAAGTTGTAGTATGGCCCAATGTCTGCCTTTTTGCCTCCACCTGGGGGTAGGGGACAATATTTTCCAATGAATATTTATGGCAATAAATGATCATTAACTAACAATGACATTATTTTGAAATATTTCTGATATTTTAAAAGACTATACATAATTTACAGCCTTAGTCACTGACAGCGCAGTGCCCTCTTATGACAGTACTGGGTCAATGCAATAAACAGTCGATAGGCCTACAATACTTTTTCAAACATTTTTATAGATGCAGACAGGGTTTGAATAATATTGTATTAATTAATTATGATATTGACTGATATGAAGAAGTATACAGATTTTGAGCATATCATCAAGTAGCATTACCTGTGGGGAAGTTTTTGGTCCTGGGGTAGTCCTCTATGGCCTGCGTCCGTAGGTCGCTCAACTTTTTTTTTTACTTCCTTCACCTCCCTGTGTTCCACCCCTTTTGAGTTAATCATGTCTGTTACTAATTGCCATTTATCATTTTTATTTCTTATCGTTACAGTATTGTTTAGCTTTGATTCTAATAATTTGTTATCTTTCATGAAACTAACTAGAATGAGAATCTCCTCATGGGTGAAATTCTTCTTCCGTGGCCTCTTGTCCTCTCCTCCTGTCATTTTTTAACCTACTAAATAGAAAAACACATTGCTAACATTAGACAAAAGACACATCAAGCATATGAAGTTTAAATATGTAACCTAAAATGTTCTTAAGTGTGTTACATATGATACGATAGTAGTGATCATACATGACAACAGAGCAACCATCTTGATGTAAATAAACGATCTTTGGCCGATCATGTGACCGCTCACAGCTTCCCCATTGGATTTTAGCCCGTCATGTGACAGCACACGGGTCCCTATTGGACACCCGATCCTAAGCTACAAACACTGATGTGATCGATGTAAATAAAGGCTGAAGTGTCCCGCTTTCATTAAAAAAAGAATTACGTAGCTCTTATTTTCCGCTTCGGAAAGAGTACGGCTATACCCCCGGTATCACCGGCAATGACGGCGACCTCTAAGAAACGGTGCATGTACTACAGTTTCTGTCGGAGTCGCACTGATGCGACTGAATGTAATTTTCTATTCGCACTGGAAATTATCAAAACAGTTGCACTGTCGAGCCCTGCCACTAACGTTACAGAGTAGCCAAAAGTTAACGGTTGTTTTCAGTTGTTAATCTACCTAACGTTAGGCTCCCAGATAGAAACTGACTTAACGTTTAACCCATTTGACACTAATTCAACGTTGAATCAATATGCTATCTGGGCGAATGTTATGCATCCCACAACGACAACGTTAGCGTGATGTTTATCGTTTTAATATACACTGGATTAGCTGCAATAGTAGCCTTAACAACCTGTGCCACTAACGTAACAGAGCAGCCAAAAGTTAACAGTTGTTTTCCGTTGTTACCCTAACTTACCTAACGTTAGGCTCCCAGATAGAAACTGACTTAACTTTTAACCCATTTGACACTAATTGCATACCGGAAGCTTTGGCGACACGTACTGCGGTTCTGGACCTCCAGATTGGATTCCAGTGATTTATAAATTACCATTAGTTTATGGATTGGTTGAGTTTGTGTTAGTTATTGTAGGCCTAATCCCAAAGTCACAACAGCCTGAAGCGGCTGAATATAAACATATCGTCCGGCCTAGCATAACCTGGACGCCACTATGGCAATGTGTGTGGACTGCAAAAGTGCTTACTCACAGTTAAAGGACGATATCAACCGCCTGAAGTCAGAGCTCCGAAAAAGGGATGAGCTCATAGAAGAATTTGCCTCTGTAGCTGTCGCCCAGTCAAAGCATATTTCATATATGCAGTCGTCAGCTCTCGCTGTCCCAGCAGCCCGATCATCCACCTCCCTGATGTCCCAGATCGTCTCGGAGTCTGCGGCCACAATCCCGTGGCTGGCCTCGATAAACGCTGGCACCGCAGCGGTCCGTCCAGAGGGCCCGGCGGCAGAGGCCGGCCGGTCCCAGGACCCTGAGCCGGACGCAGGGGCAGCGGGCTCCACCGCCGCTGCACCGGACCTGGTCGCTACAACGCCGCCGCCAGCCACACCGATGCCCCCAGATGATCTGTGGGTGCGCATCGGAGCTAGGCCCAAGGCCCCGATCTTCAGCTCCACACCAAATCGAGCTAATCCAGGGTCCCGAACGTCCTGGACAAAGGTGGTGCGCTGTGGACGTAAGAGGGATTCAGGTGGGACTCTTCCACAACCACCCCTAGGTCTCTCCAACCGCTACACGATCCTACCGGATGAGGCTCCGGTCCATCCCGACGATGCCCCTGCAGTCCCAACTCCATCTGGCTCGGACTCGGCCGCAGCTCCACCTGGCGCCGCCAGGCCCTCTTCTTCTCCCGCGGCCGCCGAGCCCTCTCCACCTGCGGCCGCCAAGCCCTCTCCACCTGCGGCCAGCGTTGGTCGCTCCGCTCGCCGCTCCTCTACAGGGAGGGACCGCCGTAGGATGCTGAAGGAAGCTGTTATCATGCACTCAGGGGGTCTCTCACAGGCTTCCACATCTCCGCACACCCGTCCACCTACGCAGACCGTCCCGGTCCCAGCACAGGCGGAGGTGACTGAACGCCCTCTGTCCGCTCCAGGCAGTCCATCGCCACCTTCTCCATGTCCTCTCCTCCCCCCAAACACATTAATTATTGGCGACTCCATAACCAGGAACATCCGCTTCATTAACGCCATCACACAATGTCTCCCTAGTGCCACCGTCCCCGATGTCCTGGACAAACTCCTGTCCCTCCTGCCCTCACTCCCTAGCTCTGTTAAAAGAGTTGTGGTGCATGTTGGGACCAACGACACAACCCGCCGGGAGTCAGAGTGCACCAAAAAGAGTTTTAACCTCCTCTTCGATGTTTTAAAGGACTGTGGGAAGTCTGTTTTTATTTCAGGGCCAATACCGACTCTCGGTCGCGGAGCCAGCCGTTTCAGTCGGCTCCTCAGTCTTAACACTTTCCTCCAGGTCTCCAGCAGGAAGTACAACTTTGGTTTTATTGACAATTTTAACTTGTTCTGGGATCGTTCCTCTCTTTTTAACAGTGATGGAGTACATCCCAACAAACGGGGTAGCCAAATGCTGTCGGCTAACTTGCAGCATGCTGTGCAATCCCTCCCACGTGACTGACTGTTTACACCTGACACACACACCCCTTCTTCTTCTACGGTACAACACACAAATTCCGACGACAGCTCCCCCCACTGGTCCCTCCCGTC